AATAAGTGAATCATGATTCAGTTGGATTGCAAAACTTTACTGTAAGACATTTTTCAGATCATGATGATGTTTTAACTGATTGAAATTACTATTGCTGACTACATAATGTTGAGTTCTAACATCCGAGTTAAAAATCTTAACTTCCCATCACCAGGCCCAGACTAATAATTCAGTGGCCACTGGGCACAATGTCTTGTAGGCCCCCTATAGCCGTACTCCATAGTTGAATTAAAAAATAAGATTAATATAAATTTTGTTAAATAAAATTAATCTATAATGTATTGCCCCTATTTTAAAATAAATTCTATACAGTACATATATTTCTAGTCTACAGAGATTTAACTTTTATTTTTGAAGCATTTAAAGCACACTTTGAAAAAAAAAATACTAATACAACTAGGGGAAATTAATGGATTTTAATTTACTTGTTCAAGTTCACTGAAGCAGTACAAAAAATATTTTTAAGGGTATTTTTAATGTACAACTTCTACAAACTTATAATGCACATGATTTGGATAACACCTCTCCAATCCAGTTATTATCCAAAACACTTATTTTTATGAGTTTTTATTATACAATATTTATCCTGTTGATTTTGAATCTTGCACCAAACAAAAGTCCTTATTTAGAAAAAAAAAACTAAAACTTTTACTGAAACTAATAGAAACTAAACTAAAACTAAGACATTTTAAAATATAGAAAAAAAAATTATAAAAACTAGGAAATCTGCCTCTAAAACTAATTAAAACTAACTGAATTTGAAAACAAAAAGTCAAAACGAAATAAACTAAAACTAATGAAAAATCCAAAACTATTATAACCTTGCTCTGGATACTTCATAACCTTAGCCTTAGTCATTGGACCGATTTGGCATCATGCAAAGAAGGGGTTTGAGAACAAATGAATTGCTGAACAAATCATAAGGGAGTCGTTGGGATAATTAGGTTAAAATAAATGCATATTATGGCTCGTTTCCACTGACTGGTACAGTACGGTACAGTTTGGGTCGGTAGGGGTCACGTTTATCAAGCTTGCAGTTCCACTACTAAGAATACCCTTTTGGTGGGCGTGGTGTATGACTGTTTCAATCACATCATTCTCGCGCGAGGAAATGTCTACAATAAAGCTGTACGTGTCGCTCCCATATCAAACGAGAAGCACTTCTCACAAGACAGACGCTTTACACACATAAATACTTGTGTATAAATGTTTAACTTTCCTATGAACAGGATTTGATTATAACTGCAGATCAATGACAGCGTGAAATAGCCTACGGTAACGTCTGTGATTTATATTAAATAAATAAATGAACATATATGAACATACAGCCCCTTACAATCTCCAATATGTTACCAACTACAGAAGAACTACACAGCAAACATTTCGTCCTTAATTGGGCTATATTTTGTGTTGTTTTGAACCTACAGTCAGTGAAAACCTCTTATCTGTGTCTGCAATCTTCAGCAGCACATGTAGCCTCTAATGCTGCGTTCACACCAGACACGGAACGCGCGTCAAGCGCGAGAGACTTACATGTTAAGTCAATGCAAACGCGCGAATAGACATTCTGCGGCACGATACGTGCGAATGACATGAATGGCGCAGGGCGAATTGAGCGTTTTGCACATTTGACGCACTTAACGAGCGTTTCATTAAGATTGCTCTTGTGGGGGCGTGATTGTGACGTAGAAACTTTTGATGGTGTACCGGGGAAAATCCTCCAGGCGACACGGACAACAAGTCATCAAACTGGGCTTGGCTCAGTCAGAAGCACCGCTGAAAGTCTCCGTCATCCAGGTTCAGTTTCTGGAGGAGTTTATGAGCTCACAGAGCTGGATGCACCTCTGAAAGGATGTAGTGGACTCAGGCAGGACCCTAAACGTATCGACGCTGTTTTCATAAAAAAATAAAAATAAAAAAAAACGTATAAAACGTATCGACGCCCAGTCTTCATAAAACACATAAATACTGTTATTTTCTTAATAAAATCCATGTTAGCTGTTTAGCTATGAAGCTAGTCACCGGGCAAACAGAAGCCCTGCCCATCACGCAAACCCGTGTCTGTTTTGAAGTGAATTTGACACGCGAATGAAGCGGATTTGACGCGCGAATGAAGCGAGTAACCTTGAATGTTTTACGCGCAAATATCGCGATTTATCCGCGCGTTCTGCGTCTGGTGTGAACACCGCATTAGAGTTATTCCATCATTCCCAGTTCATATTAGTCCAAAAGGTGATGATACAAAATTAAAACAAGGCAGTTTGTTCGCGTTTGCTGAAGAAATAATGTGCCCCATTATTCACAGCTTCTCCTTTTTTTTCGCGCTTCACTCTCGCAATTTTCAGTGTCTGACAGGATCGGGTTTCAAAAACATGTCAATAATCAGGCACATGTTATCATTAGCTCAAGAAGTTTGTCATGTCAGATATTAGACGCGCGGCCAGCGCAAGCAAGAAAGCGAAACCGCTCGTGCTTCAAACTCGCTCGTAAAAAAACTACGAGGCAAAGGGTAGATTCTGCTCTACTCCATGGCTTTGTGGCTGTTCATCAAGACGACGACAAGGTTTGTTTGAGCCCGGATCGACTATGGCTCGTTATTATATGTATACATAATTCCGCTGTAATCTCTCGCTGTGTTGTTTTCATTCTGGCTTGTTGCATAAGCAAATGACGTTTCTCTGTAAACCAATAGCGTTCAGCTGTGCATCTAGCTTCGCCTTTTTGGTACCATTTCTCGTGTTTGGTACCCCTTCAAAAGGGTGCTGAAAAAGTGGTACGGTTCTTTTGACAGTGGAAACGACCGTACCGTACCACTCAGTGGAAACGAGCCATTATAAGAAAATGAAAGTGTTTTTTTTTTTTTTTTTTTGACCTAGCATTAGGGCTGGGTGATTTGGCAAAAAAAAAAAAATCTAGATTTTTTTTATAAAGTTTGACCGATTCACGATTTCGTGTTTTTTTGTTTTTTTGTTGTTTTTTTTAATTATGTTACTAGTGTTCTCAAAACATTACAACAACATGACTGAAGTTACATTCTCATTAAAATTAACTTAAGCCATCTGGTTAAGGAACATTGTAGTTTTAATGGCCATGTCATACAAAAATCGGTCAAGGTGTAAATAAATGTAAAACAAATTCACGAGTTAAATAGTGTTGCTGAAGATTTGAATAAGAAATATATGCGTAAATATTGCACTTGCAGGAATACAGAGGTATTTTTTGCAAGTTTTGCTGAGCCTAGGAAAGATTGGCTATCAGCTCGGCTTTGACTTTGTCTTCTGATTAAATGACAGGTTGTATTGTTGCTGCCTTTGCTTAAAAAGATACAGTGGAAGTAAAGGACTGAACATGGAAACTGTAAAGCCTAATTTAACCCAATGTGTGAAGTTGTGGACGTATAGCAGGAGCAAATACAAGTACCAGATGTGTGTTTAATATAAAATAATATATTTAATCTATTTTTCTTTTTTCCCCCTTTTAAATACCGATCATTTGATGCGCTTTGCTCCACTCTCTGTATTATGCTGCCTGATCTGTCTGGTTTTCAACCAGGTCCGCTAAATGACGTCGTGGGAGTGGGTACTTTCATTTTCACTGCTACAGTCCCTCACTTCTACTCGTGTTCAAACCAAAAGATCGGCGCGGGTTTTCACATGGCAGGCTTTTACATCCTTCATACATGTTGAGATCGAGTTTATCGACTTGATGAGGGAATATGTCTTGACAATCCACACAGACGTGCAACAAGTAAAATCCTACATGACTTCATGCTTTAACAGGCAGTCAAGCAGGTCGCACACCAGAAGCGCCGCGACACGGCACGGACATGACAGTTTAAACTATCACACACCAAACGCGCACATTCGCATGATATTTAACATGAAACTAATCAGATGGCGCTCTGTGGTGCGGCTGAAATATGACCTGCATCCTGAATCGTGGTGCTGCACGGCGCGTCACCGAGAGGCGCTTCTATTGTGCTTCCTGCTTCATACAGAGTAAGCCAAAGCGCATTGGTGCCATTATAATGTATTAAATATTTTTTTTTTTTAAATCGCGATTTCTCGATTTGATTCAAAATTTAATCGTCAGAAAACATAAATTCGAATTAATCGAAAAAATCGGAGAAATCGCCCAGCCCTACCTTGCATGCATAATCAACCTGATGTTGGAGACCCCCAAATCAAAATATGACCCTTTATAATACATAATAGAGGCTCTTTAAAACAAGCAGTATTTTATTTAAAATTGCTTATAACTGATGATATTCACATATGTTAGTAATAATAAAAACAAGCCATTTAAAATTAATTTCCCCAAATTTTACTGAAATTGAACCAAACCATGACTTAAATAGAGATGTGTGCCAATCCATTAATGTTTTTGTTTTGTTTTTTTAAGTACCTTTACACCCCCTGCTCATGAGGCATTATTACTCAGAATTTATTCATGTATTTACAAAAGATTCATGAATTAGGCTTAGGGCTAGGCAATTTAATCAGAATGTCAATTTTGAACCTAAAATCAATAAATTTTTTTAGGACGAGTTTTTCAATAAATGGCAGATATATACTTCTGCGGCCACTTTATTCTTAAAAGTGCAAATTATTTATTTTCACTTTTTTATACAAAAACTGTTTTAGCTATGTGTTTTAATTTCAGTTGTTCAACGTTGATGTTCAATAAATAAATAATCAGTTCGTAGATGGAGTGTGTGTTTCCTTCAATTATTTTTAAATCAGGTAATGCACCCTTCGTTCAAAAATCTCCCACGTGTAATACGTAAGCATATTTACTGTAGAAAACCTGTCAGTGAACTATGGGGACAAAAACATAAAATAAATATAAAAAAATATTCATTTAATTAACGTAATCGAGTTAAAATGCTCAATTAATCGAGGTTTTGATTTTAGGCCAAATTGCTCAGCCCTAATTGGGCTCATTAAAACAAATCAGTAAACAAATAAATGCTAGTCAATGTCAGTTTGTTTGTATCTCACCTTTGTAAAGAAAAAGGCTTGAGCATCTTCACCATGGACGGACAGAGCTTTGCATATTGAATGGTGATGTTTCTTCCACTGACAATTTTATTTCTGATAAAACATAAATATTAATTCATATATTTGTTTTCAATAAATTCATAAAAAAAATTTTTTTTACCCAACACTGATTTTATAACACAAAGTATTTTTCATTTGTTGATGCATTTGTAAACTTTACTGATCTATTCAGCATTAAGCTCAGGCCCAGCGCTATGGGGAGACAAAAAGGGGCATTGCCCCCTGATAAAGAATTTGTGCCCCCTCTGTTTTCATTAAGAATTAGTTTACTCAAAACTTTAAATGATTTCTGTCATTAATTTCTAAACACTCCCATCATTTCCACCATCAGAACACAAATTTAGATATATTATGAAAAAGCAATTAAATATAAAAATTATAAAATGAAAGAAATAGTCTATCTGTAGTCTATAATAATCTGGTCTCCGCGTCAGGTCAGGATGCACCCATATAAACATAAAACACAGCAGCGGAGGCACTCACACGGGGGAAAACTGGACTAGTGGATAACATGAATTAAGTCAACCAAAACATGAAATTATTTAGGCTGCTCGACTTCATTTAAATACAACTCTTGAGTTCTAAAGGGGAAAAAAACTAAAAGAAATTTGTTGTTAAATTATCTTTAGCAGAGACTCAACTGCCAGTCATTTTCAAATTTGTTTTTCCATTAGGGATTAATATTCGAGAAGTCTAATAAAAATGTTTAGTTGGACACTGCACAGTCCCACAGTAGTTTACACTATAATTAATATCATAACTTATTATACTATTTATTAATTCATTCATTAGGCTTACTTCATTTTATTAATCTGGAGTCGACACAGTGGAAAGAACCGCCAACTTATCTAGCTTATGTTTTACGCAGCAGATGCCCTTCCAGCTGCAACCCATCACTGGGAAACATACATACACACACTCATTCACACACATACACTACAGACAATTTAGCTTACCCAATTCACCTACAGCGTATGTCTTTGGACTTGTGGGGGAAACCAGAGCATATTAGCTTTATGGTTTATGGTGGCGTTTTTACAAATACCAACTGGACAATTTTATAAAATAAAATAAAAAAAACACTTATGATTGCATAAACAAATCTTTATTTTTACCTCTAAAATTATATTTTTAAAAAAGTTATGCCTATTAAATGGTGTGTTATCCATGCCAAAATTTAACCAATTTTCACAGTAATAACTGTGAATTTCTTTTTTTGAGGTATAGACAGACTTTCTGTTTTGCTACACTATTGCCTTAACATGTAATGAAGTACCACATTTAGCTACTATTCTTTTAAAATGACATTAGATTGCTAGATTTAAGTTTTACCTAACACTGATTGGGTAATAGGCAATTCAAGAAGTGTGAGGACTGTTATGCTGATTTCACTATATTTATTTACCGGTTATACGAATAGTCTAACAGTGGGTTAGCTTGCATGTGTGGGCCTAGTTTGATGTCTTTACCTAAAACGTAAATGTGTTTATGTAAACCAGTGGTTCCCAACCTGGGGTCCAGGGGGGGCGCGGGAGAGGATAAGTATTGAGGTAGAAAAAGGCATAAAAATGGTCCACTATTATAAAGGGCTTTTGCAATTAATCGAAAATCCGATTTAGATTTCGGTTTCAAACGATTATAAAAAAGCATTAATCGAGATAATTAATTATTGCATCATATTTCGCCACAGTTGTACACGTGTTGCTCTTAAAAGCGCGAAAGAGCTTATGTGTGTGTGTGCAGCACGATCACGCAGTCAGAAGCATGCGGACGGTCAGCATTCACTCTCATTCGCACACTGAGACGAGCAGAGGAGCGCAGACATCTAAAGTCATCTTAACGTGAACGCTTTAATGGTCAAATAGGTGTCAAAACGCGGTGTTTAGTGATTATGCACATTAACCCTCATTTGGGTGGAAAATAACTGTATGTATACAGTATGTATACATAAGTCAGAATTATTAGCCCTCTTGAATATTAGCAAACCTTTTCCTGCCCAATTTCTGTTTCATGGAAAGAATATTTTATTACCTTATTTCTGAACATAATAGTTTTGATATCTCATTTGTAATTACTGATTTCTTTTTGTCTTTGCTATAATGACAGCACATAATATTTTACTAGATATTTTTCAAAATACAAGCATTCAGATTAAAGTGCAGTTCAAAGGCTTAATTAGAGTAATAAGGCAAGTCATTATAACGGTAGTTTATTCTGCAGACAATCAAAAATATATATTGCTTAAGGGAGCTAATAATATTGACCTTAAATTGGTTTCAAAATATTTAAATCTGTCTTTATTCTAGCTAAAATAAAACAAATAGAAGAAAAAATATTATAGGAAATTCTGTTAAAATACCTTGCTCTGTTAAACATAATTTGGGAAATATTTATAAAAAAAAAATTCAGGAGCGCTAATAATTTTGACTTTAACTGGCAATGGTTTTGAATAATCGTGATTACAATTATGACCAAAATAATCGTGATTATGATTTTTCCCAAAATCGAGCAGCCCAAAAAATAAAAAATAATCTAAACACATGCTTAAAATTCCAACATAATAGTGAAAATAATTAAAATAAATAACTTTAAATAATTATTTAAATTTTGCTCACTCGCGCAATCTGCTTGTCAACGTGTCGTAAAGGCAAAATCAAAACAAAAATGGCAGACAAACGTAAATGCAGTGATTCTTCAGAGGCGAAGAAAAAGATTAGACAGTATGACAAAGCCTACCTAAATTTTGGTTTTATTGAAGGCCAAGACAAGTTAAAACTGATTAATTAATATTTTCTATACATATTACTATATATTAATATTACATAAACACACATATATATATATATATATATATATATATATATATATATATATATACACAGTACATATGTGTGTGCGTCTAGTGCCCCCCTATGGGATTAAAATGCCCCTTCAGTTATGGCATCCTGGCGCTGGGCCAGACTAAACTATAAAACAATACTTAATAAAGTTGTTAAAACTGATATTGTGGAAATCCTTCAGATACACACCAGAGTCATCAGGGCCTCTGCAGCACAGGAGTCTCCATGCTCTCCTCAGATGCCTCCAAAGACGCTCAAATATCCCACCTGCAGGGAGAAAAATCAAAATTCCCAGATGAGTGTCCACTTTTTGTCACTAAACTACAGTAAAGCTAGACCAAACCATTACATTGCTTTGAAAGTGCCAATGAAACATCACATTGTTCATTTATTCATTTTCTTGTCGGCTTAGTTCCTTTATTAATCCGGGGTCGCCACAGCGGAATGAACCGCCAACTTACCCAGCACGTTTTTTACGCAGCGGATGCTGTTCCAGCCGCAACCCATCTCTGGGAAACCACCATACACATTCATTCACACTTAGACACTACGTTTACAGTCATCTCAAGATTTTGTGTTAAATGTCAGAAAATCAAATACACACTGTGTCTGGAGCTTTGTGTCGTCCTTTTAAACTCTCCAGTTTGCATCAGGTCACTTTTTCCCTCCCTCAACTCAGCACCCCCTAGAGGCTTTATAGACTCCACAGTTCGCTAATGTCATTCAACCGCTTTAAATCGATGTTATTTTGCACTTACGCACGTGAAATAATACCACTCCATGAACGCCGCAGTTTATAGCAGTGGATGGTAACTTGACTCTTTGGTAAAAACGGTTTAATTATCATCAAGTGTCAAACTGCAGTGATGCCCCGCGCCTGTCGGTCTTTGATTTTTATGACGAGTTATGATGAACGACGCTGAAGTTCAGACAACCATTTCTTTACCTCTGATGTTGGTTTCCATGCCTTCCGTTTGTGTGTTGCTGTCAACTTGTTCAGCGTTGTCAAAAGTTACCGGCTTCTTTAAACTGGTTTGCAGTAGAAATCCAGCGTGCGTGAGTGAAGAGGAAAATTGTCCTCCTAAAAGTTTACGAAGAGGAGCGCTGTGGCAAGCCGTTTTCACATGTAATCTACAAAGCGTACCTACCGTGGGCGTTGCTAGGTCTATTTTAGGGAGACTGTAGCCTCCCTATGTTTCTATTCAGCCCCCTAAAACTTTTGCGATTAGCTCATAAACTGTAAACTAAATTATCGCGACAGGCTCCTTTTAAATTTGATCTGAAAACGGCGGCAGAATTCAGCTCTTTTGTTTTTCATTTAATCAAACCATAGTGCAGAGCAAGAGAACAAGCGTGTTTATATCAATATATTTTTAGAATATTTGCTTGTTTGCAGTTGTTTGCTATAGATACACTTGTATCACTTGTACCTTAATGTCATGGAGGAGCAATCCTTGGCGTTCACCTCATCCTCACAACTGTTTCTTCTTGCCAAAAATTAAACTCTTAATTGAACATTGTGTTATTTTATTTTAAATAGAGCTACCATATAATTATGATCATAAAATATGTGAATTAGCCTGTAGGTTTAGAAATATATATTAATAATCATGTCATTTAATTAGAAAAGTGGCAGTTTATTTATCTAATACATTGAAACAAAAATACTTGTTCAATATAGAAAGTGTTTTTTTTTCCTTTTTTGCCTATTTGGCTCATTCAGAACTCAAATGGCTATACCTATCTAAAGAATACAGTGGAATACTGCTAGTTTAGCATAGAACCCTTCTATAGTAGACAAACATTTTAAGTACTATTAAATTATTACTTTTAAATATTATATATATACATGTATATCAGGAGGATATAACATAAAATCAATTTTTAGGAATTCAATAATTTAACGAATGGGCTATATGCACAGGTAGAGTTTTAAAGCCAATGATAAAACTTCCGGTGAAATCTTAAATGGAATATTTTCAATATTACAAGGTTGCTTTTACAGCTTCAATGTTGTTTTGTAATTACAAATAGGCATGGGCCGGTATAAGTATCTGGCGGTATCATAACCTTGGATAAAAATATCACAGTTTCACGGTATCACAGAATTGCGATTACTGCTCCAATATATTCTTTTTAAATGTCTGGGTAAAAAACAACAATGTTTTTCCTCCTTTAAAAACAAATTTTTAAAAAGATTTATAAAATTTTAGAACAGTAATGTCAGGCTAAAAAATTAAAACAAATCATTGACTTCTGCTGTCCTCAGTTTCTTGACCATTTAAAACGGCATCTTTTTTATCTATCAATACACCTCACCGTGACGTCACTAGCTCTATTGAGTGCATGTGTCTGACACTGCATGTCTCAGTTTGCATATGCAAGTCTGCATCAAAATATTATTGGCCTGACCTCCAGAATTTGCAAACCAGAGAACAGCTGAAGAAAGAAAGTGACCTACAACTTGTATATTCAAACCAACGACAATAGCTATAAATTACGGCTGCACTAAACTGCTAAAATCTGCAATATTGTTGTTGAATATTGCAGTAATTATATTTCTTATATTCCATTTTAGTTTGACTTTTTTAAAACTCCTGTGTAATAATGATCATACAAAAACATTTCAAACATATAAAATATTAAACGATAGTCAGGATAAGATATAAAGTTAGTAAGGCCTCATCTGATTGGTTAAATTTGGACCAACCTCTGCATGTAACACAAATGCTTCTTGGTACATGAAATATTTTCAAGATAATCGCAGATCACTGCAATACAGATATCACATATACTATTATTGCGATATTGATCATTTATATATACATTTACTTTTTGCAAAAATTGAGGAAAAATTGATGCTGTTGCGTTGATGCAAGAGGATGATGATTATTATTGTTTTTTTATTATGATTATTATTATTGTTTTCCTTTTTGCATTTATCAGCAGATGTCATTGGTGTGCTACATTCCAGTGTAACATGAACCCTGTTGACCAATCAGGTTCGATTCAGCCCTGCCTGTACATGCTTGGCGGCGTACACACAATTCATGTTTAAAATGTATGATTAAAAAACGCATAATAAAAAATGTTAGAGGATTGGCATAGGATGTCATATGGATGTTTCCCAGTGATGGGTTGCAGCTGTAAGGGCATCCGCTGTGTAAAACATATGTTGGATAAGTTGGTGGTTCATTCCGCTGTGGCGACCCCTGATGAATAATGAGACTAAGCTGAAGAAGAATGAATGTATGTATGTATGAATGAATATCTTCAGGGTGGCTACTAGCAAAAAAAAAAGTAAATAAACTAAATAACCTGTAAATCTCTGAAGTAAAATACAGGAAATTTGCCTTCCTTACAGAACATAAACAAAGTCACAAGTAATCAATATTGAAATGTAGGCCATTCCTACGAGCTCGAACTCTCAAAGTTGCAAGCATACGTAAACATTTTTAATTTTTTTCCAATTATTTAAATAAAATCTTGTTGCATGAATAGTATATTAATGGTAATACTGCTTGCCATTGATAAGCGCACACGCCGCCCGAGAAGCAACGTCAGTGCCTTCCGTGTAGTAACCACGCCCATGTGCCTCTGTAACGTTAACCCTCGCATTTGGTCGGGACTTTTCCTGGCGGGCGTTTTTTTCATACACTGCAAACCCAAATCTGCCAACCCTTTTTTTTTCACAAAACTAAATCACTTTTTTCCTTTTAATTCTAATGATTCCCCAGCGTGTTTCTTATATTTACTGACGTTAACATTTTCGCACAAATTTCCGCTTGCTATGTGCCTTTCACTATGCATGGTACGACAAATAATAAAACAAAGTCTGCAAAACACTGGTCAGTTTAACATCAGCGTTTGGTAAGACACTTGTCTAGACGTCTAAGTTAGTTATTACGTTATAAGCGGACACGTCGATATGAACTTGTGACTTTTAAGACTTGTGTATCTTTTGTACAGACACAAAATAGTTCATATTTCAATAAGTCATCATGACCAGGTCATGACAAACGAAACCACCTCACATGAAAGCACTTTAAAGCCTCTTTACATTTACTGTTAAAACGGGATACAAGGTTTAGGAGTGTTAACGTTTCTGTCTGAAGAGGGATTGTACGCACTCATTCACAAACAATTTAGCCCAAATCACGTCTTTGGACTTGCACCAGGAAACCCACGCGAACACGGGGATCACTGCAGTACGTGCAAACTCCACAAAGAAATGCCAACTGACCCAGCCGAGCCGAGGCTCTCACCTGCGACGTTCTTGCTGTGAGGCAATTGTGCCACCACCACCGGGACGGGACGCCCCCAATACTCGATATTTACATGATTATATTTTACTTGGAATTTATACATAAAATGTATACATCTCCAAAAAGCGGGCAAATATAAAGCTGATAAATTTGCTTAACGTTACGTTACCTGTTGAAATATTCTCTTCACGTTTTGAAAAGGAGGATATAGACGGACTTATTTGGCTTGTTTTTCTTCTTCTTTAGCTCACGTCTTCGAAAAAGCGAATAGCTGAACGCGGAGGAAATGGTTACCTGTCTATCCATTATGCGGAACAGACCTGCGTTATTACACTAATATCAATCCTTATGCGTAACGTTATAGCAGCAGCACTCTCCAGAGCAGAAATATTCCCGCGTATTTTCGGATCCGGTGTTTGTTCTTCTTCTTCGTCTGCTGGTTGAAGGTAGCCTCGCGCCACCATCAGGGCTGGCGATGCTGCTGCAGACTTACTCTATATCGATCATTTTAAAGTATAAACCTTACACTATATTCCTTTGTTACTTTAGGTACACCTTACTAGTACCGGGTTAAACCCCCTTTTGCCTTCAGAACTGCCTTAATCCTTTGTGGCATAAATTCAGCAAGGTACTGGAAATATACCTCAGAGATTTTGGTCCATATTGACATGATAGCATCACACAGTTGCTGCAGATTTGTCGGCTGTACATCTATACATTTGCTTAATTGGACTGAGATCTGGTGACTGTGGAGGCCATGCAGTGAACTTCTCGTGTTCAAGAAACTGAGATGATTCATGCTTTATGACAAGGCGCGTTCTCCTGCTGAAAGTAGCCATCAGAAGATGGATACACTGTGGTCATAAAGGGATGGACATGGTCAGCAACAATACTCAGGTAGGTTGTGGTATTGACACAAAGCTCAATCGGTACTAATTCACAAAGTGTGGCAAGAAAATATACCCCACACCACTACACCACCCCCATCAGCCAGAATTGTTGATGCAAGGCAGGATGGATTTATGCTTTCATGTTGTTGATGCCAAATTCTGACCCAACAATCTGAATGTTGCAGCAGAATTTGAGACTCATCAGAAGCAGCAACCTTTTTTCAATTTTCTATTTTCCAATTTTGGTGAGCTTATTTGGTTTTTAGTCTCAGTGTCCTGTTCTTACCTGACCGGAGTAGCACCCTGTGTGGTCTTCTGCTGCTGTAGCCCATCCGCCTCAAGGTTAGCAATGTGTCGTGCATCCAGAGATGCTCTTCTGCATACCTCTGTTGTAATGGGTGGTTATTTGCGTTACTGTTGCCTTTCTATCAGCTGGAACCAGTCTGGCCATTCTCCTCCGACCTCTATCATCAAGTCATTTGCACCCACAGAACTGCCAGTCACTGGATATTTTTTCTTTTTTGGACCATTCTCTGTAAACCCTAGAGATGGTTGTGCATGAAAATCCCAGCAGATCAGCATTTTTTGAAATACTCGGACCAGCCCGTCTGGCACCAACTTTCTTGCGACATTCAAAATCACTTAAATCACCTTTCTTTTCCATTCTGATGCTCAGTTTGAACTGCAGCAGATCATCTTCAGCATGTCTACATGCCTAAAAGCCATGAGTTGCTGCCATGTGATTGGCTGATTAGAAATTTGCATTAACGAGCAGTTAGACAGGTGTACCTAATAAAGTGGCCGGTGAGTGTATATAAACATTCGATTTAAAACCCTTACAAATGTAGTCACTAGAAATGCTTAGGAAATTAAGGTAGGTTTTTCTAAATATAAACGTCAGGGCATGTAGAAAAAAACTGAGTGTCTGCTTTAACCCTTAAATGCTGAGTAATTTGTAATCTGAATACATTGGTGTTATCCTGTTTATATGAATGGGTCTATGTGGGAGTAATAAGTCAGAGTGAGTCATTGAATACATTGACAAAACAACATAACCACAACGGATGTCAATGACATGTAAATATGAATGTGATGTGCTCTTCCTCTTAGCAACCATGATAGGTCCAATTTAAATGATTTAGAATATACATTATCCCTTGCCTTTTTTATTAAATTAGTCCTCTGTGTTTTAGTAAACTATCACATTTCTTATTGGATATTTTTCTGAATTGAAGTTACAGTAAAATAATGCACTGGCTCTGATACACTGCTGCCATGCACTGACTTTCTGACTGTGGTAAAATGATTGACAAGGATGTGGTTGAGGAATACATATAAACTGAAGGTAAAAGTTGCTTGGCTGGAAACTGAAGAACTGGCTATTTATTTTAAGTGTGCATTAGAAAGTAGATTAATGATTAATAATGATAAAATGAAATAAAAAGTGTGTATATGCAAAACTGGATTTATTTTGCATAACCTGAGGGCATGCAAATTTGATTCTAGTATTAAATCTTAAGACACTTCTGTTAGCAATTACTGAAGACCACATCAGATTGATGGTGAGATGATCTAAAACACAACAGTAGTTTTTGTGCTGATCAAAGTTAATGGTTGACAGTTCTTCAGTATAACCTCAGGTTGCCAAAAGCCACACTATGAGTCCTGACTTGCGGACAATTCCCAATAATGTCTTGGTCTTTCTCCCATGCTTACCATTAGATAGGTGTTTTTTTTCTCAGTTAAGGAAGACTAACAAAATGTCTATAAAAATATGACTGCATGTCTACAGCTATGATATGTGGAATTCATTTGAAAACAGAGAGTTGTAGCAGACTTCAGAGTTTGTGTAGTGGTTAAGAAAAGAGAAATTAGATGACAAATGTTACTTCAGTTTCATTTTTTAAAAGGAAATGCTTGATTGTTTCATCTGTGCTGTCAAACTGCTGTGTGCCAAAACTGCTGAAGCAAGTATAAAACTTTTGCATTAACCACATCTGCACTGTGAATCAAAGCCACAGTGTTGTAGGTGCTTTTGCAAACATCGTTGGATAAAAAAAATAAATAAATAAACTTTTTAATTGTTTTCCCTAAAACTTGAAACCTAATAGAGCAGAGTGCAGTGACAAAAATATTAGACAAACTTAACACAAAACTAAAGAAATGGGAAATCTAAATGACTATAAGCTAAACTAAATGGGTCAAGTTTGACACATTCGTGAGTAGAGGAGTTTTAATGATCTACTGATTAACATCTAAGATCTCTGAATATAATGAATCCTGACAAGATTAAAGATGCAACATCTGTCGTGTCATATAAATGTGTATTCACTAGTGAAAAAATCCTATTGGGTTTTTGATTAGTGGAAGCAGTGTCATCATAGCAGATTTTTAAAACAGAAGCTGCTTGAAATAACATTCACAACACTAAAATGTGAACTTTTTTAGTCAGTCATTTTTTTTTATGAATGGGTCTGAATTGTTCAAACAGGCAGCAAGTCGATGTGGGAGTTATATCAGAATGACATAAACAACATAACCACAATTGAAGTGAATGAGATGAGCTTCCTTCCTCCTGACAACCACTAGAGCCGATCAGCTCAAGTCAAATTATTTAGAATAGAAATACGATTTTTGTTAGGGTAAGTCATCTACTGTTGTGTTGTTTTTTTTCTAATGCTGTAACACACAAGCTGTTTGCTGAAATTTTAACTTTTTTGGTCAGTGTTTAATATGAATGAGTCTGAGTTTTTCAAGCAGGCAACAAGTCTGTGTGGGAGTCGTATCAGAATGACTATATTGACAAAAACAACATGGCCACAATTGAAGTGAATGAGATGAGACTTCCTCTTGGCACAAGAACCTATATAGGGGCAAGGTATAGAGACCTATTTTACCCCTTTTTCAAGAATTAAGATAAGTCTTTTGTGTCTCCTGAATCAATCTGTAAAGTTTCAGCTGAAACACCCATCAGATTATTTATTAAACCTTTCAGAATATTAGAATTGTCTGCTCTGAACACAATTTAGCTGTTTTTGGTGCCTGTCAAAGTGTGCCTCAATCTTTGGCCGCGTCAGATAAACAGCACAGTGACAGACACGAAGGAAGCAGATCTCACATAATTTTTGTGAGAAATGCTACAATAAGACCTTTCCCAATGATTATTTGATGCATTTGATGTATTTTGTTGGAGTTAATTCAAATCTTTTTGCAATAAGTCACACAATGTTGTTACAAAGTTCACACACACACACACACACACACACACACACACAGTGTTGCGGTGGGCCTCAAAATGGGAGGGATTTGGATCCCATTTAATGTCAGGATATTAAATAAAGAGACTTATTGTCTTTATATCACCCCAATATGACTGTGGACACACTATACCTACACACAGTTCTGTCCAAACTGCTTCAAAAAGATGATTTTTATCAGAGGTGCCCTTAAGTTATTCAGAATAAAAGTTATTACATACGATTTGTTTAGGATAGTTGTGTTTTCTTAATGGTGTAAAACACAAGCTGTCATAATAACATTTACAATGCTAAAATAGAAGCATGTTTTACAATTTCCATTAAGCAGTGAATTGAAAAGGAAAACTGCTGATTAATCAACTCCATTTTTCTTGAATAAATATAATAGAAAGAAACAGATATAAATAGTGGATTAAACAGGTAAAGCTCATTAACGCACAATCGGCATCACTCCACTGCCATATTTCTTGGCCACACTCCCCTTTGTGACTAACACATTTAAAAACAAGTCTGGATATGAAGTGTGTGGCCTGCACACAGAACATTACTACATAAAACAAAACTCCTCCCATCCAATTTGCATAACATAGACTGTCTAACAGATTTGCTTTAGATTATGCAAAGAAACATTAAGCAGAAATGTAATACCTTTTTCAGGTCTTTTACAGAATGCAGTCACTATCATATTAACAACCCACATATTTATAGAGTACAACCCCAAAACCTCTAACTACAACTTAAAATATAGAGTTAGTGCAGCTGTAATGAAAAGAGAAACAAATCCTACAATTAATAACATTCTGCCTTTATTATGTCATATCATTTATATAAAAGTCTTCTGTGCTATTCAAAAAAATAAAATAATTCTTAGCTGAACTGGTGAGCGGGTGTTGAGCTACAATTGACCAATACAGACTTGTGAAGTATGCATTTTGAAACATTATCAATTAAAAGCTTTAAAATGAAATCCAGGACAATATCAAGTGGCATAACAATAAAATGCAGATAAACGAGTTAAAAAAAAAACAGATTATGGAGCATTACTTATAGTTCACCCAAATTTAATTTTTCTCGCTGCCAAAATCTTTTGATTGCAAAATAAAAAAGAAACTCAAACTAGTTTGTGACAAGTGAAGGGCGAGTAAACAATGTGAGAATTTACATTTTTTAAAGTGAACAACCCTTTTTAAGGCTTAAGTGATATTAAGGAGTAAAATTGTACATTTAATTGACTTCTAAAAGAGCTTTGGGTGTAATGAAACTAGAGTGCTACAGTGATTTAT